TTCTAATAAAGTTAAATAAAGTACTTTTTAATAAAGTTAAATAAATAACTTCTAATAAAGTTAAAGAACTTTTTAATAAAAGTAAATAAAGTATTTTGAATAAAGTTAAATAAAATATTTTTTAATCAAGTTAAATAAAGAACTTTTCTAATAAAGTTAAATAAATTACTTTTCTAATAAAGTTAAATAAAGTCTTTTGAATAAAGTTAAATAAAATATTCATAATAAAGTTAAATGAAGTACTTTCTAATAAAGTTAAATAAAGTACTGTTATAATAAAGGTCAAGGTCAAGGTCATATTTATTTCTATAGCACATTTAAAAAGACGGAAGTCACCAAAGTGCTTTACAAGAACATTGTGAAAAATTACAATACCACACGAATAGAATGATAAATACCAAAAATATAAAAACGGATACAAAATACCAAAAACAACAACATCAATTACACATGGAAAAACCTGAGACAGAGCATACGTATATCACACAAAGTCAAGTCTGGCTCACAGCGGGTTCAAAAGCCAACGAGAAACGGTGAGTTTTTAGAGATGATTTAAACCTTTCCAGGGATTCTACATGTCTAACATGCAACGGCAAGCTATTCCAGAGCTTGGGAGCAGCCACTGAAAATGCTCAGTTGCCTTTAATAAAGTTAAATAAATTACTGTTATAATAAAGTTAAATTAAATAAAATACAGTTGTAATAAAGTAAAACAATGTATGGTTATAGCAAAGTTTAAGTACTTTTATGACAAAGTTGAAGCACTGTTTTAATACATTTGGATAAAGAACAGTTATGATAAAGTACATTAAAGTATTTTTATAATAAACCACTGGTGCTTTTATTTTGAAGAACCTGGCCCATCTCAGGCTGGAAGTGTTGTTTCCAGTTAGCTGTTAGCAGTTAGCAGAAAGTTAAATTGTTGCAGCGGCGCCATTAAACGTGATGATTTATTTACTGTAACATAGAAACATTAAATGGTTGCGGTTTGGAGCCCTGCAGATACAGAAACACACCTCGCCTGCTCACACTGTCGGCCAGGAGAGAGTCGTCTGGATGAGGATGAGCGGAGGAAGTGTGTTTGATGTGTCGTGTCTGTGAGTCTTTCTTTGTCTTTTTGTGTCTGTGAGAGGGAGACAGAGTCACGGGAGACACCAGACTGATTATCATGCAGGTGACTTAAAAAATGACAATTTTTATTTGCAGTTATTTTATACATCCTACGTAGAACAAGCTTCGATACATCGAGTATAATC